ATGAATAGTTTAAGTTACTCTTCATCACTCCATTCACTAACCAGTAAATATCAGTTGAAGGATATATATCAGTAGTTGTGAGACAATCAATACAATATTGAGTGTTATTGAGTTGTGTAATGGATGAGACTAGTGTCCAATTGATTGAATTAATAACTAGAAATACATCAACAATGTTACAAGTACATTAAAAGGTGCAGTAGCAATACCTGGTAAGGTCTGTACACTGATTGTACTAGCAGGTCCCAGTAATTGTTGATAGGCTCTGACTGTGATGCTATAAGTTGTTCCTCCTCTCAGTCCATTCAGTGTGATTGTATTATTACTACTTCCCTCCACCTGTACTGTCTGCACAGTGTCTGTGTCACTAGTGACATTGACTACATATCCATCAGCATCAGATGAATCAAGTGCAGTCCAACTGACAGTGATAGTGGTAGCTGTCTTGTTGACCTCAGTAAGAGAAGAGGGAGCAGTTGCTGGGACTAATAGGGAAACATACGTACTTAATTATTAGTGTTCTTATCATTACCTTTTATGGTTAAAGTACGTGTTCTATCAGCACCACTAAGATTATCCAGTACACACTGATACATTTGATCTCCAGTGGTTGATTGACTGATTGATCCACTACTGACAGTCATTCCATCCCATGTGATATTAACAGTATATCTTACTGTGTTGGCACTACTAACTAACACAGTACTAGGACAATAACTAAATCGATCATCACAATTAGTATAACTAGCCAGTGCAGTACTACCAATGCTCATACTAATACCATCATAGCGATAGTATCCAATTTTAATACAATTCAGTTTGTATTCCTGAGAATATACTGTCATATCAAAAGGAAGATCAGAAACAATAAATGATTCTATCTCTGCAAATCCTAAAAATGAAATTATTACATCAGTAAGTGATTATAGTCTCCTCTTACTGAATATATTAGCAAAGATGATGTTAGTGTTAGGATCTGAACAATCAGTGGGTAGACAACACTTGTACCAGCCTTCTTGAACTGCTGGTAGTCCCTGAGCAAGATAAAGATTGAGAGTAGCAGGTGAAGTGACATTAGTACAGCGAAAAGGATCACTGGCACCATTACTGTTACAGTCAACAGGATCATCAGGATCAGCAACTCTAACCCACTGACCAGTAGTTAGACTAGTACCAGGTAACACACATGATATAGCTTCAGTAACTGTATTGACTCTACTGTCCCAAAAATATGATACATTAGGATAACAGTTTTGATTATGTACTAAATAGATACCTATAAAAATTACTGAATACTTATAATAATTGATATTAAAATTTAAATACCTTCTGGCTGACAATGAGTGAAAACAATAGCAGGTCCCAGTAATTGTTGATAGGCTCTGACTGTGATGCTATAAGTTGTTAGTTCTCTCAGTCCATTCAGTGTGATTGTATTATTACTACTTCCCTCCACCTGTACTGTCTGCACAGTGTCTGTGTCACTAGTGACATTGACTACATATCCATCAGCATCAGATGAATCAAGTGCAGTCCAACTGACAGTGATAGTGGTAGCTGTCTTGCTGACCACAGTAAGAGAAGAGGGAGCAGTTGCAGATACTAAAAATTATTGTACCATTTAAAAATCAACTATAATTAATTTGTTACCTTTTATAGTTATATTACGTGTTCTAGTTGGTTGATCAGTAACTTGCACTACACACTGATACATTTGATCTCCAGTGGTTGATTGACTGATTGATCCACTACTGACAGTCATTCCATCCCATGTGATATTAACAGTATATCTTATTGTGTTGGTACTACTAACTAACACAGTACCAGGACAATTATCATTATTTCGATCATCACAATTAGTATAACTAGCCAATGCAGTACTACCAATGCTCATACTAATACCATCATAGCGATAGTATCCAATTTTAATACAATTCAGTTTGTATTCCTGAGGATATACTGTCATATCAGAAGGAAGATCAGCAACAATAAATGATTCAATCTCTGCAAATCCTACAAATTAAAATTATTAAATCAGTAAGAGATTATAGTCTCCTCTTACTGAATATATTAACAAAGATGAGGTTATGAGCATTTGAACAATTAGTGGGTAGACAACACTTGTACCAGCCTTCTTGATCTACTGATAGTCCCTGAGCAAGATAAAGATTGATAGTAGCATCAGGTGAAGTGACATTAGTACAGCGAAAAGGATCATTGTCATTATTACTGTTACAGTCAACAGGATCATCAGGATCAGCAACTCTAACCCACTGACCAGTAGTTAGATTAGTACCAGGTAACACACATGATATAGCTTCATTAGCTGCATTGACAATAATGTCCCAAAAATATGATCCATTAGTATAACAGTTTTCATTATGCCTCAGGTAGATACCTATAAAAACCTATACAGTTGTTATTATACACATCCAGTGTCTTACCTGAGGAAGGTGGACATTGACTGATAACTTCACTGACACTTATCAAGAAGACTATAATCACTCCTGATACTGAAAATGCCATTTTAACAATGAACTGAATAGAATTATAGCTCTGTTACAGTTATGTTATTTTTTGACAAATTAAAACTAGATTTATACATGACGGTTTTCTTTTACATAAGCAAAGTGCATAAGATGTATATGTGTGTCACAATTAAAACTTGTTTACTTTCCTCTACAGTAAGCTAGATGTATGACAATTCAAAACAATAACATGTTTATTGTGACAAATGCATATCACTTAAACCATCAGTGCACATCGAAGTTAGTCTCGCACAGCCAGACCATTCCCCAGCCTACAGTCATCCCTTCCCCACCAACCACTGTCCACCCAAATGACTGTAGGCTGGGGAATGGTCTGGCTGCGTGAGACTAAATCTAAGTATTGATTCTCATCACTGAATACATGCATTAATGTTTTCAGTTCACATCAGAATTAATCAGGAAACCTGCCAGGTTTTCTGATTATGATCAGAATTGTCAATTTGAAGAAGTGATAAAAACTGCTAGAGTTGAGACCATTGATATATCCTCATCCTTCTATTGTTGTATATACATTATGTATATGCCATTACAAGAGTACATGATGGGTTGCTATACTGATGTATACAAACAGGAGAGATAGACAAGCAGACACCAGTCATAATCAGGAACAGTGGACAGGTCATTACATTGAGAACTCCTCTTGAAGACTCTGAAACAAAATCATTTCAGTTTGATTATACTTATGGGCTCTTATTTCTGAGTCCAAAGTCTTATTTCAGCAAAACCCTGTGCATAAAAACAGGAACCATGAACATGTTTTGTATCTCAGTAAGTGCATGCATTATGATTTCAGTTCACTTAAAACCATCAGCAGCTTGTCTATTGCCAGTTGGGTTAATTATTTTATTCACAGTATAATTTACACCTAAGTGAAGTGTGAAAATGGCTAGAGTTGTCATTAGAGTTAGACCATTGATATCCTTATCTTGTTTATTGTTTATATTTATTATAATATTATTATTGTTTATATCTATGTTTCCTTAATTATTACTTGTATATACAAACAGGAGGAGATAGAAAAGCAGACACCAGTCATAATCAGGAACAGTGGACAGGTCATTACATTGAGAAATCCTCTTGAAGACTCTGAAACAAAATCATTTCAGTTTGATTATACTTATGGACTCAGCAAAGATGACAACGGATACTTACAACCTGCAGCACAAGCTGAACAGGTACACAGTCTATGGACATACATTCCCAATTGCACTACAATCAATTAAAATAGAAGCAAATATTGACTGATCTAGTTCCTCGTTTACTGAGGAATGCTTGGAAAGGATACAACTGTGCATTGATAGCATATGGACAGAGAGGAACTGGGAAATCAGTCTCAATTTTTGGAAACAAATCATATCAAGGTATATAAAAAACCAACATAATTAAGCTATTCACCAATGGATGTGGATCCTTTAGGTGCAATAAGTGCAGTATGTGACAAGTTATTTGATCAGATACCATTAGCTAAGGACACACTCTGTCAAGTCAGCATTAGCATGATGGAAGTATACAATAATGAGGTAAGAGAACATATTAATGGTGTTATGGTAGAAAATTGTGAAGGTAAGAGACTTAATGAGTAACAATGTACAAGAAAGTACATTAAAAGTCAGAGAAAACAAAAGAATTGGATATTATGGTAATGGGATAAGCATACACACAACAGGCAATTAATAATGATGCTATTCATGCAGTTGATGGTTTGAAAGTATTGGCAGTGGCAACAGTTTCTGATATTGAGAGGATATTGAAAGAAGGAAAGAGAAACAGAGCTTTATTGAGCACTGAGATGAACTCACTCAGCACTCACTCCTCTACTGTACTCTTTCAATTGAAATTTGTACAAAAGTGCCTCAAAAAGAGTGGACAGATAATTAATAAATCCTCAATAATAAATTTTGTAGACCTCCCAGCTACTGGAGCAGAAAGGTATACAAAATTATAACAATATACAAAAATTTGTTATTCAACATAGTGGAGTGGTTAATGAAAGTTTAGAGAAAAACTTGTCAGTATTTCACTCTGTTGTCGAAGGTATTCATAATTATTAAATGTTGTAATATTATGTACACATAGCATTAATTGACAATAAAGAAGCAAAAGGTATCAAATAAATTTTTAATTTTAGTATACAACACACAATACAATACATGCAGTGCCATTCAATGACTCTACACTGACAAAGTTATTAAAACCAGTGCTATCAGGACATTCAAAAATCACACTAGTAAGCTTCAATATTAATACATTGTAATGATTCACTGTATATATATGTATGTATATAATTATGTAGATTGCAAACATTAGTCCAATTGATTCTGATTACAACAGAACAATGACTGTTTTAAAATTTGGTAATAATATTAAGTGAACAAGCAGTAAATCAAATATTACAATGTTCTTTATTCCACGAAGCTGAACAATTCAGGAAGATTGTACTCAATGCAGGAGTCAATGAATCAGTGACTGATGAAGTTATACAAAAACTGAGAGAAGAGAATGCAGAGCTTTTATCAGAACTGAGGAATGAAGAGAACCTTGTATTGAAATACTCAGACCCAAAAGGTATAATAATAATAATAATGCTCTTATAGCTGCTTTTGATTGTTGTTTAGAATTTCAAAAAATAATGGAAAAGAGAAAAAAAGAAATCTATAGAATTGTAAGTAGTTCATTTACAAATGTAGAGATGGAAAGAATCATGTAGATAAGGAGTAATGAAGAAGAAATTGATGAACTAAAACAAACTTGGGAGGACAAGCTACTCATAACGTTACAAAAAATGCTCAAAGTAAAGGACATACATTTATACTCTGCTACATGAAAATGTCCACAGGTAGCAGAACTGAGAGAAGCTGCTTTTGAACAAGACAAGGAGACTGTCCCGTATTTATGGAATCTTCATGAAGACCCACAACTCACGGGAAGCATTGTTCATCTTCTTCAACCAATTCTCAGTTACACTATTGGTCGACAAACCGATGACAATGAAGATAAATCAGATATAACATTAAATGGACTAAGGTCTATAATGATGAAAAGTCTTATGTACATGCATACACATATACTTAATAATTGTTTGTTTATAGTATTCAAAGGACACATGCTGTCATTACAAATGAAGGCAGAGATGGAGCAGTGTCCCTCTCTCCTTGTACAAGCTCTAAAGTATTAGTGAATGGTAGACTAGTAGATAAACCAATCACACTGCACCACAATGACAGGTATCTACCACCAATGATGTGGTAATTAATGATGATATTAACAGAATTACATTTGGATGTCATCATCTATATGTACTCAATCATCCAAGGGAAATGAAGAGTTTGCCAGCTACTAACAAACCAGTAGCAATAACATACCTTCAAGCAATTGAAGACATTGCAATCTCTTCAGGTTACACAACAGGTAGATGATCTATAGTGTATCATAATAAGTTTGATTCTTTATGTTAGAATCTGATGATAATATTAAAAAGGAAGTGTTTAGGCTCATACCAATGGTCCATGAGGCTAATATTATCAGTGAAGAACTTGATAAAAGAGTAAGTTAAAGACTTAAAGTGAAAACTTAAACTATGTACAACAGCTATCTTTTGAGATTGTTTCTCTGCCACTTAAAGCAAGAGGAGGGAAAAGAGAAACAAAAGTATGCTACATGCACCATGACATATTAAACAGAGTACACCTTGTTGTTAGGTTATGATACAAAAGAAGCAATTGGTGACTGGTAAAATGAGCCTCTGGTCTGTGGAGTGTTTCTGCTCACGTTACATTGCAATGAAAGACATTTACCAGAAACAAGTGAAAGAATATGATCTCATATTATCAAATGTACACCAAACACTGTATGTACATGCATACATTGAATAACATGTACTGTATAGGATGAAGACCCATTTTGGGAGCCCGACTGTAATGAAGCACTCATGGGACAAGCATATGTATACATGCAGTACCTTCCTTATATGGTAATCTTGTAGTTCTAATTCAAAATTTAGTTGGAACCAACTCAAAATTTATACTAAGTATTAAAACATGTATAAATAGATCAGAAAATGTAATTAAAATGCAGAATCTTCTCCTTTTCATTTTTGGCAAAATTGGGCCAATGCCCCTGTACTCTAACAGGGGCGTTGGCCCAATTTTGGAGCAACTTTAAAAATTCGTAAAAAATTTAAATGTGATCGGAATCAGCTCAAAATTGAAATACAACATAAAAACATGTATATGTTTCAGGAAAAATTATAAAAATGGCGAATTCTCTACTTTTCATTTTTGGTGAAATTTGGCCAGTGACCCTGTACTATAGTACAGGGACTTTGACCCAATTTTGGAGCAACTTTAAAAATTCGTAAAAAATCCAAATGTGATTGGAATCAGCTCAAACTTGAAACACAACATACGAACATGTATATGTATCAGGAAACATTATAAAAATGAAGAATTCTCTCCTAGCCATTTTTGCCAAAATACCCTGTACTATAGTACAGGGTATTTTATCAAGTTTCAACACACATGTACAATACATGTATGTAGGTACAAATGGAGGACACTGTTACTATATCAGATCTTGATGGTCATAAAATAGGTCAACTCAATGTACACGTGCTTCCCCATAAACCTAACCCAATACAACCACTTGATGATAACTCCTCCATTGAAAATACTGATGATACAGTAAGTACCACATTAGTACTGATAATAATTACATTTAACAGCTAGGTAAAAGGATACAATTTCAATTTAAGATTAAAAATGCAGTAGGCCTGCCTGAAAGAGCAAAAAAAGTCAGTTTAATTCTATTATTAGTATTATTTTAAAATAAAAATACTAAATTTCCCTTTTAATGACAGGGAGTGTTTTGTAAGTTTCATTTCTTCCTTGATGTTAATGAATCAGTCACCAAAACAATTGCTGAGACTGTCTCTCCTAATTTCAATTACATGAAGGAGGTCACCATAGACCCTGTCACCCCTAGTACCCTGTATTCACTGAGAAATGAGCCATTGCTTATTGAGCTATGGACAAAAGAGACACAGGTGGAAAAATGGGAGCCATCAAGTGTTGAAGAAGAAATGAAAGTGACAATGGACACTAAAGAACTTATGAGACATGAGAGACAAACGAGAGGTTGTCCAGTTGTAATAAAAGTACTACAAAGGCAGACAGTTAAGGTACAGTACAGACTGAAGTATAAATAAATGAATTAATAGTACACATTGTACAGATTGAAAGTGAAGTGATGAAATATGAACTTGCTACAATGAAAGCTAAAGTCAATCATTTGGAAGCATCAGTGGTATGATTGATAGTAATAATTAAGACACAATTATTATTGTTTGAATTGCAGAAAAGAGTTGAGGACCTTATTACAAAAGCAGAAGAGAAAAATGATGACAAAATCCTGGTAAGCTAAAAAATATTACGCTTTTTCAACTTATGCATTTTTGCACTTTCATTTAGCTGATAGATCTTCAAAAGGCAGTCAAAAATATTCTTAAAAATGAATAAAATAGTACAAGAAATATATATGACTACTTACCAGTACAATCATATTAGTGAATAATCTTTTATTATTTGTTCAACTTCAACAAAACTCTTCATGAAATTCTCTTCACACATACCAAAACGTGAGTATTGATGAACATACGCACGTGAACTGTACATCTTCCATGCTTTCTCAGTCACTGTATTAAGAGATTGGAGACAACTCTGACTGTTTGATATGACAGTACAACTCTTCTCATAATGGTTGAAGGGGTGTGGACTAGACCACACCCACTGTCTCATTGATGGAGGAACAGAATTAGAATACATTGACTGGTCTGAGAGTAGATTACTGGGATCAAGTTCATGAAGATCTCTACCTCTGAATATAAATAAATTTGAGAGAGTTTTATTTAAGTTTTTACCCGGTGATGGCGACCAATCCATGCCCTCTTCAATAAAAGAATCCGTCGATAACATCTGACGTAAGTATTTGATCAACCCCGCCCACAAGTAATTAGTGTAGGCATGGGAACGCTCGGGCATTTGAGGGAGGGACTTTACTGAGAGGAGCCGATAAGAAGAGTGAGGGGTGAGTGAAGTACAGAGGTCACTTAAGGAGCACCAGTTACTCAGTAAACTTGAGTCTCTGGCAGAACAAGAAGAGCTGTGTGGTACAGCTGGTTGAAGAATGCTGGCTAGAATATGAGTAGCTACTTTATTGAGATCTTTAAAGCTAATCTCTTTAAGATGAAGGAGTCTAGAACACACTTTATGTAAGTGATCATTGGGTAGGAGTATCACTGCATCAGATGAGCTGTACAGTGAGGCTGTTGTTAAAAGAGCATTGTAATTCTGAACAATAACTTCACCAGAAGCATAAGGCCATATAACAGGATTGACTAGACAAGAAGTGGGATATTCATCATGGAGCAGCTGTGTTACATAAGTACCTAATCCAGACCCTGTACCACCTGCTACACTCATCAGTATTAAGAAACCTAATATTAAAAAATAAAAATTTAAATACTAAATGCTAATGAAATAATTTTTAAATTGGAACTGGATTGAAATTTCTGCATTATTTCAGTAGTATATTAAATACCTTCTAGGCTATCACATTTCTCAGCTTCTCTCTGCACGGCATTTAAAATCCCTTCATGAGCTGCCGGTCCGTGTTGATAAAACCCGTGAGCCCAGTTATTACCAGAGCCTTGACGTCCTTTATATATACTGGAGGAGTCGTACTCCCAGGCTCCTCCTCTCTTTGCTTCCGTTAGAGAGGACTCTATGACCTTTAGCTCAGTATCAATGAGAACTGATCTTGCTTTTAACGTATTCTTGCCATCATTTTTGTGAAAATATCTACTGAGGGTTTTCTGATAATAATTAGAGGAGGAGGAGAGAGGAGGGGATTTGCAGGTAGCAGAAGCATCTGAGAGGAGGAGGGAAAAGAGCTGAGGTCCTATCTGGTTACCACACTGGCCCAGCTGGACCACAACTGTAGAGGCCATTGCTGAGGGGCATTAAATAGAGTACATGCAGGAGCACACGTAGAAGCACGTGGGTAATTGATAGGTGGGGCTGGTGCTTTAATTGGGATAAAAATTCAAGAATGGCGGCACTAAGGAGGAGAAGAAGTAGCTTTTGTCCTCCTTCCCGGGCCAACCAAGAAGAGGAAAGGAAAGAGAATTTATTATCTGATTTTAAAGATAAAAGACTAACTAAAATCAAAATGGTATGATTCAAAAGTTACTAATAAAATGAAAAATTAATGATAACAATAATAATAATTGTATTTATGTATTTACATCATAGAGTCCAATACCAGAGTCCTCTCCTAGAAAGAGGCAGAGGTCTCCGGATCAGTCATCATCATCCGAAGGGTTCCTAAGACCGAGTCAAATTCGTCAACTTCAGAAAACTATATTGTCATCTGATGATGTCATCACTAACCAACCACAGACCAGCAATGGTAGCGTCCTATTATCTTTTGATGCTATACAGTACATATTCATTACCATTTTTACTTTTTCTTTTTCTTCAGTGTCTGGTTCTTCTACTGCTCCAGCAGCTGCTAATAACATAAACTCACTGTGGGACGGAGTATTGAACTGGATGAAATCAGCTCTTGACTTTGTTGGTAGTGAACTGCCTAATGACACTGAACCATCACCTTCTAAAGTACAGCAACTCAATATTTGCACTGAAGACATTAGAATCCTCTCTCTCTCCTCCTTCTCTCTCTTTCTCTCTCCCTCCCCCCACTCTCTCTTTAGAAACGGCACATTAGTCAGGATTATGAATCAGAGAACACCCAAAGTTCTTATAGTGAAAATCAAAGAAGGTTTCAAAAGCAAAGAATGTTATAATTAGTTTTATTTTCTTGCAGTTATGCACCAAAATCAATCACAAGTACAACTGCAGCTGCTACAATTAATTCCACTACTAACATCAGAGCTGAGATTGCTCCTGCAAATAAATTTCGTTCTTTGTTAGCGTCTGCTGAAAAGTTTGAGTCCTCAGTCGGTGGTGAAGGACTTAATAGTCTTCTCTCGGATCCTGAAGGTTCTACAAGATCCCGTTCAATCAAGAATCCTTTCTCAAGACAGAACCCCACAAGGGAAGACGTACCAGCTGCCTCTAATGGTATTTTATAATGTACATAGTAATTTATTTCTTCTTGTTCTCTTAGTTCCTCCTCCTCCTGCCCCTCCTCCTCCTCCCCCAGCTCCGCCCCCTCCCTCTCTCCCTCCCCCTCCTCCTCCTCCTCTCTCTGAGCTCCAGGCCACACCTACCACCGCAAGAACTAGCAGTCGTCTCCAGCAGATGCAGAACCGACTGAGGACCCGAATGATGAAGAGAACTGAATCAACTGACGTACCCGAGACTCCAAATAAGAAGACGCTGGATTTTAAAGTAATTAATAATAATAATAATAATTATTATTATTATTATTAATTAGTCTCGTCAGTGGGCAGAGATACAGGCTCGTCAGCGTAAGATGTCAGTCCCTGACTTTCTTCACTTAGCAAAGGGAAAAAGAGAAGAAATACAATCACTATTAAAAGTAAAAGGACATAGGGAGATTGATACATGTAGTGCAAGATTAAAGTGTATTCTTTATTTATTTCATACTTTTACTGATAGCAATTGCAACAGAAGTTACCTGATACTTTACAAGATCTGTCTCTGGCAGTTGAGAAATTAGAAGACGTATCAGTTTGGTACTCTGGAGGATATCGAGAGCTAAAGGTATACATGTACTGTCATACATGTACTGTACTGAAGATACAAACATTGCAGATGTTATACTGCATACTGAAACTGAAACTATTAGTCCCTGTACTATAGTATAGCGACTTTAGCCAAGTTTCACCAAAAATAAAAAGTAGAGAATTCTTCATTTTTATAATTTCCTCTGATACATTTTGATGTTCTTATGTTGTGAAGAAAGTTTGAGTTGATTTGGACTTCAATTTTTTGAGTTATGGCTATTTTAATAATAACCCTTTTCTTTCAGGAAGAAGTTCCTCTATACCGATCACTAGAGAAGACAATTGAAATAATGACAGAATGTTCTCAGACCCAATACGATATACAAAAGACAATCAGCGATACATCTCCCATTTATGGGCGTGGCTTCAGAGACTTGCACGCCCACTTGGAGCTTCTCAGAGATGAGTTTACGAACAAGAGGAAGAAATGGATTGACATTTTGAATACCAATGGACGGTAGGCAGCCATTTTATTTTTAATTAAGTAATGCAATCAGTACGTACATTATGCTAATTAAATATTTATAAATTCTTTTTATTATTTTATTTTTTAGTTCTTGGAGAGATTTAGGTCTCCCTGTATCTGCTGAAGCATTGGCAGGGGGTGGGGCCTATCTCTCACTGATAATATCCAAATATGTACAACTGGTAATGGAGGAGAGCGGGAAAGTGGAAGGACTAATGATGACACTTAAAACTAACAGGATTTCAAAAGTAAGAAAAATATAAAGATATATTTTAAAAATCCCTTTTCCCCCTCTCTTCCTCCATTAGTTAAAGGAGAGGTTCAAAGAGGCTCTTAAACTATTATTGGAATGTTCCTCCTCTTCCCTCCCTCCTCAGTGTCCCCAGTGTACTGAACACTGCACTCACTGTATGAGAGGGTTACTGAAGCAATCTGTCACTATTAGTACTAGTTATACATTAATATCATTAAAGGAGTATAATGGATATATACACTCAGCCAGCAGACAGGTCAGTAATAATGTGTAGCTGTAACTGTATTTTGTGTTTATTTTCCTTTGGTAGATTGTCTGTGAGCATTTTGAAGGTATTCTTAAAGTAACGTCAATTTTAAAGTCCCTCGTTAAAAGGTCTAATTCAACTCGTCAGAATAGATCATCAGGTAAGCAACACACATTATGTGTAGATTAAATTAATTTTATTTTTAGTTCTAATTGATGCCCAGCAGCTGCCTCAATCAGAAGAGCTAGCCTCAGCGTTATATAGCAGCTGTGTACTGATCATACAACACATTTCAAAATATATACAGACCACACTATCAGATGGAAATACACCTGACACTACCAGCAATAAAGAAGTAAGGACACTATCATGTACATTGTATTGTATAGTGTAGGGTAGAGGAATGTATGTTACTATTTATAGCTGCTATTTATAGTAACAAGCCACACCCATACCTAAAAATAGACTGTACTAGTTGTCCATCAAACTCATGTACATGTACTCATAAATCTTGTACTACATCAATCCTTCCTTGAATTACTAATAATACTAATAAACCAATTCATGTACATGGGTCATAGTGACTCTCCTTCCTGTGTAGATAATCTTGCTAATGATGTTTGGTTGTAAGTATGTGAGTCAAATAATGGAGGTACTGGGATCTGAACTAGCTAAAGAGAAGGGGATACAGAGTTTACTAGACAAACTACATGACATGGAGCTAGTGTTACCTGATTGATATAATGACATAGGGTCTGTATGTGTCACTTAGTGTTGTATGGGACACATTGTGTCTGTTCATTTTTGATTACTATTAACAATTTATTATCATCACTGGTGTATGTATACATAATTATATTAGTTATTGTGCTGGCAATTAAGTTGATGTGATAGATTAAGAAAAATCTTTTTAATTTTGAAAATGTGACATTACACAAATCAATGTGTACAGAACATAAATGACATAATAAAGAGGCAAAAAAATTAAAAATTTAGCAAAAATATGCATATCATCTACTCTTGATATAAATAAGGTAACAAAAAGTACAATAAACGAAACAATGCAAATATTGGCAATTCTACTGCCATTGATGATGGTTTTAGTAATTCTAATAGTAATTATAATAATAGTTGTATTTTATGTGTATACAACAAAAGCACATTAAAACTAAAATTGAAAATTAACGTGTTATTTCAATTAAAATAATGATAATTGAGAAGAATAAGATGTTATAAATAAATTCCTTAGCTGAAGCAAATTCAGTATTGCGGCATGATTTACCTTCATGCTGGGGTAATAAAATAAATTTATCTTTGACAATGGCACATGTACATGTAAAGTTACTATTTAATTTTGTTTTATTAATTCTTTTAACTGGTAACTTCTTTAATAAAATAATGCACTCACCAAAAGCATCAATGAAGTGGTTTAGTTTAAATGTTGTTGATTCCGAGTATACAGTGACATTTACCCGAGTCCATCTATCCCACATGTCCACACTCTTAGTCTTGCTAGTCTTAATGTAAGTAAATGAGGTAAAAGAAGACAGTCGTATTGTTGGTAGTTTTCTTATTTTTATGTGATAGAAAAACTTTTCAAAGTAGTCAACCCTTAGATTATTAGTGCTCTTAGTCCATATAATAGTCTGATATGCTGGCGGTTCCAGGCTCTGAACTGAAATAAATGTTTCAGTTCCATGTTTGTGTGCATCAACGCCATCACGAATTGTCAGTTCTTCCAGAGATGTATGCATTTTTATTATGTTTAGAATATTATTATAAGGTGTACCATAATTTTCCATTAAAACTAATTTCAGTGGCCTACCAGGAGCAATAAGTTGTTCTAGTCTTGCAAAATCATTTTCATGCAGATTAACAGCCAACAGGCCTAATCTATTTAGCTTTGTGAGTTTTAGAAAAGGGTTTTCTGAAGTTGCATTACAAGACCATTGAAAATTAGGAGTAACAAATAAAACCTGTTGCAATAATGGAAATCTAGAAATTATTTGACAAAACTCAGAAATCTCTGAGTCATTTGATGGAAAAATCAAGACTTCAGTTACTAAGTGACTAGGCATAAGTAGTATTTCCTTAAATCCTTTTTGCCTCTCATCAGTGTCTTTGATTTGAAACTCAAATGCTAGTTTCCCACTACTAGTAGAATGAGATAGAAGTCCCTTGTTAAATGCTTTTACTTGATCAGAATTATAGAATTCGACTTTATATGTAATTTTGTGAACAGCAACAAGATAGCCACAGATATAATAATCAAAATTTGTGCTGCTTGAGCTTGAGTATGAATGGTTAGAAGACAAGCCTATGTTGTATAGTAGTGAATCGTCTTCATAGAGACACCCAAGCATTATACTGCCAATTTGCACATAATCATCATCATTTGTAGGTCGGGAAATATTTTGCTTTAAAATGTCCATTACTGTAGAAACCAGTTCTCTGCCTGTCATTTTGCAGATTCCAACATAAAAAATAAAAACAGTTTTAAGGTTTGGTTGTAATTCAACATATTCATGATTCTTAATTTTAATTTTTGGCTTGTTATTAAGAAGATAAACTGCAGCAAAGTATTCTTGTAGTGTAGTGTGTAAAAAGCTACTGGACTCATCTTTTTGAAAAACAAAGAAATTAACAATTGTATCCATCATACTCAGTTTAGTGACATTGTGAAGCTCCTTTCCAAAAATATATTGCTGCTTCATCACACCATCATAGGCTATTTTAGAAAGACGTGAAAAGTTTTTCCAAACAGTTTGTAGTAGAGGATCGTTAAAGTCAGTTTCAAGCATCAAATGTTGAGGCATATCATAGTCTAGATCTGATATGAGTCCTGCATCAATGAGGTGCCTCTTGAGTAAGATACGAACGTAATGATTGTAGAGTGATGTCATTGTTTTTGGATATTGTTCATTGCTAGTGGCTATAAAGTCATTGAATATTGTGCACACTATGAAGCAGTTCAGTGGATTATAAAGCATGCTCTCAATCACAATATTACCACTGTAATAAGAATGAAACTTATAAGCTTTGTTTTTGTCATTAAAATATTTTAAGGCATATTCCTCTATCTTAGTAGAATCAAAGCCTCTGAGACTGATATGTTTTGAGTTATGATCATGCAAAAAACGAAGCAATAAATCACTAGCAACAGGTCTGCTGGTGACAATGACTGTTGACTTGGAAAGATTGTCACCTTTTATAAGCTTCATAAGCACAGAATTGCTTTTCAAATGATTTGGAAGCTCATCAAAGCCATCTAATATCCAAAGAATACCTGCTCCTTTTGCTTTTTTAATTTTTAATTTTAAATGTTTCATATTAATACTTTGGTCATCTAAGTCAACAAAAAGATCTTCAATACTAGCATTAAATTTGTGGTAAGTTTCAAAGCGCAGCTGAATAAGAAACACAATGTCATAATTGTTCAATAATGCATCAGATCCTTTAGCCCATCGTAACACTAGCTCTTTAGCTAATGTACTCTTTCCTATGCCAGGCTCTCCTTCAATTAGTACAAATCTTAATTGTTCCTCTGATACTGGCTTTAATATATCCTCAATTTGAATTTTCATGATTTCCTCATTTCGAACGATTTCCTTAGGAGTTGTACTGAGTAACCATTCAGCAGTTGATTTGGTTACATTTTTAACCACAATCGATATTAAAGGTATGAATGGAACATGCATAGAAACTGGACCAGCTGTAGGATATTTATTATAGTTTGGGTCTTTATATTTAGTTAAAGTCTCAGTGTATTTCTCACGTAGCTCTGACCCATACTGTTCAATCACTCCTGGTGTTGGTGTACGTGACTCAGGAGGTGGTGAGCGTACAATTATTAAAACTGAAAATGCTATTATTATAACTGCTACTATATACCAGTACATACATGTACATGGGGGCAATATTACAGAACTTTTTGTAGGCACTGGTTGGGTAGGTCTTGGTCTCAGAGCAGCTAAAATAAAGATATAATGTAACAAATATGCAATGAGTACTTGATTCAATGATTTTAATAATAAAATTTGGAGCTATTTCTTGACAAAATGCACTTACTGTTTTCAATGCTTTGATGTCTGAGATACTCCTTGTATTCAGCAGCTAGTGTCTTGAGCTCCATATCTTCAAGTACTTCTACAAGCTCTCTCCTCGTTGCTTGTGGATTAGACTCCAGCCACAGCCTGTACATGTCGCTAGTTTTGGTTCTTTCACTGACTGAAGAATAACGGATTGCGTCTAGCTTTTCTGAATTCAAATCCAACATCACACCAATGTCGTACCATTTAGATTCGAGGCACACTTGTTTCATGAGCTCTGGCGAACTAGGACGAGAATCAAGAAGAGATTCCATTTCTGCAGGAAGCAGGAGTGACGTATGTAGATAGTCTACTCCTCCATATATGGATCCGGCCAGCTAGCTAGCTCCGCATCTAATTGTAGGCGGTGCCAATCTACTTATCTCTCTCTCCAGACTCTCCTTGTCCTTTCCCAATGATGCACCAAAGACCTGTGAGAATTTCCGCTGCCTTTGTACAGGTGGACCAGACCCATTTTGTTTTTTATTAGATTTATTTAGGAGTAGTCTGGGAAGACTAATTTAGGAGAGAAAGGGAAGGTAAGACAACAATTAAAGGAACAGTTAATATCATTGAAGGAGTATAATGGATATATACACTCAGCCAGCAGACAGGTAAGTAATAATGTGTTCTTGTAACTTTATTTTGTGTTTATTTTCTTTTGGTAGATTGTCTGTGAGCATTTTGAAGGTATTCTTAAAGTAACATCAATTTTAAAGTCCCTCATTAAAAGGTCTAATTCAACTCGCAACAATAGATCATCAGGTAAATAACACACATCATTATGTGTATATTGAATTAATTTTATTTCTAGTTCTAATTGATGCCCAGCAGCTGCCTCAATCAGAAGAGCTAGCCTCAGCGTTATACAGCAGTTGTGTACTGATCATACAACACATTTCAAAATATATACAGACCACACTATCAGATGGAAATACACCTGACACTACCAGCAATAAAGAAGTAAGGACACTCACATGTACATTGTATTGTATAGTGTAGGGTAGAGGAATGTATGTTACTATTTATAGCTGCTATTTATAGTAACAAGCCACACCCATACCTAAAAATAGACTATACTAGTTATCCATCAAACTCATGTGCATGTACTCATAAACCTTGTACTACATCAATCCTTCCTTGAATTACTAATAATACTAATGAACCAATTCATGTACATGGGTCATAGTAACTCTCCTTCCTGTGTAGATAATCTTGCTAATGATGTTTGGTTGTAAGTATGTGAGTCAGATAATGGAGGTACTGGGATCTGAACTAGCTAAAGAGAAGGGGATACAGAGTTTACTAGACAAACTACATGACATGGAGCTAGTGTTACCTGATTGATATAATGATTGATTGGGTCTGTATGTGTCACTTAGTGTTATATGGGACACATGGTGTCTGTTCATTTTTGATTATTATTATTATCATTATTATTATTAATTATTATTAATTGTTATTAATATTATGTCAAAATGTGTATAGAATAGAAATATGTAGGAAGTACATAAATGAGAAAAAAATTAGTAAACTTTAAATATCAAACAAAATATTATTTATTACTGAACAGACAACAGCTATGAAAACTAGATCTACTAAATCACTGGTTATAGCGATGTTTTATGTCATTCAATACAACTGTAATGAGAATCAGGATGAATGTCTTTACAATAAAATTTATAGCTGAATCATATTCCGTATTGTGGCATTTATGATCACACTGGGGTAATCCTATGATAAATCCACCACCTTGTTCAGCATCAGCAAACATACATGTAAAGTTATTTTTTAATTTTTTTGTTATTGTTTTGTCAATTCTTTCAACTGGTAGCTTCTTTAATAAAATAATGCACTCGCTGAAAGCATCAATGAAGTGGTTTAGTTTAAATGTTGTTGATTTTGAGTACACAGTGACATTTACCCGAGTCCAGCTATTCCACGTGCTCAACATGTCCACACTCTTAAAATAATAATCGCTATTTCTATTCTTAATGTAAGTAAATGATGTAAAAGAAGACAGTCGTATTGTTGGTAGTTTTCTTTTCTTTAGATGATAGAAGAACTTTTCATAATAATGAACCATTAGATTATTAGTGCTTTTAGTCCATTGGATGTGTTGTCGTCCTGATAGTTCCAGGTTCCAAACTAAACTGTAAGTTAGAGTACCATGTGTATCAACTCTGTCTTGAATTACCAGTTCTTCCAGAGATGTCTGCATTTTAATTAAGTTTAGAATATCATTATATGGTATGCAATAATTTTCCACATACAATTTCTTCAGTGGCCTACCAGGAGTAACAAGTTGTCCAAGCTTAAGCCTTGCGAAATCATTTTCATCTAGATTAATAGCTAATATACTTAGTATATTTAGTTTTTTGAGTTTTAAAAGAGGGTTTTCTGAAGACCATTGCAAAGCAGGAGTAATGAGTTTTAACAGAGGGTTTTCTGAAGGCCATTGCAAAGCAGGAGTAACAAGTAAAACCTCTTGTAATAATGGAAATCTAGAAATTATACCACAAAATTCAGAAATTTCAGAATAATTTGATGGAAGAATCAAGATTTCAATTACTAAATGACTAGGCATAAGTAGTAGCTCTTTAAATCCTTTGTGCCTCTCATCAAATCCTTTGATTAGAAATCGTAATAATAGTTTCCCACTAACAGTAGAATGAGATTGAAGTCCCTTGTTGAATGCTTTTATTTGATCTGAATTTGAAAATCCAATCTTATAGGTGCTTTTGTGAACGGCAACAAGATAGCCTAAGATATAATAATCAAAATTTGTGTTGGGTGAGCGTGAGTAAAATGAATGATTAACAGGCAAGCCTATGTTGTATAGTAGTGAATCATCTTCATAAAGACACCCTAGCAATACACTGCCAATGTCCACATATTCATCACCATTATCTGTATATTGAGAAATGTTATTCTTTAAAATATCAAATACTACATAATCCATATCTCTGGCACCCATTATTTTGCGGATTCCGACGTAAAAAATAAAAATAACTTTGAGGCTTGGAATGTTCCTAATTTCAATATCTTGCTTGTTATTAGCAAGATAAACTGCAGCAAAGTATTCTTGTAGTGTAGTGTGTAAAAAGCTACTGGACTCATCTTTTTCAAAAACAAAGAAATTAGCAATTGTATCCATCATACTCATTTTATCAACATTGCAAAGCTCCTTTCCAAAAATATATTGCTGATTCATCACACCATCATAGGCTATCTTGGACAAAAAGGAGAAGTTTTTCCAAACACTCTGTAGTAAAGGATCATTGAAATCAGTTTCAAGCATCAAACGTTGAGGCATATCATAGTCTAGATCTGATATGAATCCTGCATCAATGAGGTGCCTCTTGAGTAAGATACGAACGTAATGATTGTAGAGTGATGTCATTGTTTTTGGATATTGTTTATTATTAGTGGCTATAAAGTCATTGAATATTGTACACACTATGAAACAGTTCAGTGGATTATAAAGCATGCTCTCAATCACAATATTACCACTGTAATAAGAATGAAACTTTGAAGCTTTGTCTTTGTCATTAAAGTATTGTAAAGCATATTCCTCTATCTTAGTAGAATCAAATCCTCTGAGACTGATGCGTTTTGAGTCGTGTTCATGTAAAAAATGAAGCAATTGATCACTAGCAACAGGTCTACTGGTAACAATGACTGTTGACTTGGAAAGATTGTCACCTTTTATAAGTTTCATAAGAACTGAATTGCTTTTTAAATGACTAGGAAGCTCATCAAAGCCATCTAATATCCATAGGATACCTGCTCCTTTTCTTTTCTTAATTTCTACATGTAACTCTGTCATATTAATACTTTGGTCATCCAAGTCAACAAAAAGATGTTCAATACTTGTAGCTTTGTGGTAAGTTTCAAAGCGCAGCTGAATAAGAAACACAATGTCATAATTGTTCATTAATTCATCAGATCCTTTAGCCCATCGTAACACTAGCTCTTTAGCTAATGTACTCTTTCCTATGCCAGGCTCTCCTTCAATTAGTACAAATCTTAATCGTTCCTCTGATACTGGCTTTAATATATCCTCAATTTGAATTTTCATGACTTCCTCATTTTGAACAACATCATTAGGAGTTGTACTGTGTAACCATTCGGCAGTTGATTTGGTTACATTTTTAACTACAATAGATATTAAGGGTATGAATGAAACATGCACAGAAACTGGACCAGCTGTAGGAAATTTATTATATTTTGGGTCCTTATATTTAGTTAAAGACTCAATGTATTTGTCACGTAGCTCTGACCCATACTGCTTGATCACTCCTGGTATTAATGTATGTGAATCAAGAGGTGGTGAAAGTACAATTATTATTAAAACTGAAAATGCTATTATTATAACTGCTACTATATACCAGTACATACGTGGGGGCAATATTACAGAACTTTTTTTAGGCACTGGTCGAGTAGATCTTGGTCTCAGGGTAGCTAAGATAAAGATATAACTAAACTATTTGTGTAATCCTTGACAAAATGCACTTACTGTTTTCAATGCTTTGATGTCTGAGATACTCCTTGTATTCAGCAGCTTGCCTGTTGAGCTCCATATCTTTAAGCACTTGTACAAGCTCTCTCCTCGTTGCTTGTGGCTTAGAGTCCAGCCATAGCTTGTACATGTCATTGGTTTTGGTTCTTTCACTGACTGAAGAATAACGGATTGCGTCTAACTTTTCTGAATTTAAATCCAACATTACACCAATTTCATGCCATCTAGACTCAAGGCACACTTGTTGCATGAGTTCTTGCAAACTAGGACGAGAATCAAGAAGAGATTCCATTTCTGGACTAGGGTAAGGAGCATACAACGTAACCTATAATGGTCGAGAGCTACTATACTCCTCCGCATTATGGGCGGTGCTAGCTAGAGACCACGTGATGCCTGGTGATGCACAATGCCTCTCCCAAGATGTTTCTTTGATATTTCCATTAATTCTGTTCCTTGTAAGTCTAATGTACTTTATAATCTACTGATCTCTCTCCTTTCCTATTAGCTGGGAGGATAGTCTTTGAACTATTCGTTAATGATGCACCAAAGACCTGTGAGAATTTCCGCTGCCTTTGTACAGGTGGGCGCCATTTTTGTGTCCCTATATTTTTATTAAATTTATTAGGAGAGAAAGGAGAAGGTAAGACAACATTTAAGCCTCTACACTACAAGGGGACTCCAATCCATCGGATAGTAAAGGGATTCATTGTACAGGGAGGGGACTTTGTTAAAGGTATGTAGAAAAAACAATTAAAATTATTTATACATATTATTTTTAAAATAGGTGATGGAAGTGGTGGAGAGTCCATATATGGTGGTTTCTTTAAAGGCAAGTATTAATTAATATACTACTTTATGGGTGTGGTCAATAATTAATTACATAATAGAGTATATACATGTAGTATAACCTTTATATAATGGACACTTTGGGTACAAGAAAGTGTCTCTGTTATACAGAGGTGTCCTTTATGTGGAGGTTATTTTATACAGTAAGGAATGTAATTGGTACACTAAGTGCTGTCTGTTAAATGGAGGTGTACGCTATAGAGAGTGTCCATTAAGAGAGGCTATACTGCATTAGATTTTTATAACTGAGTCTTGTTAATGTGATGATGGTATTTTTCTTTAGATGAGAATTTAAACTTGAAGCATGACAGACCGTTCCTCCTCTCAATGGCGAACAAAGGTTCAGACACAAACGGCTCTCAGTTCTTTATGTACGTCATAGCCACACCCATATTAATAATGCTGCCACACCCCCTTTAGCACGACCAGACCCGCCCCTCATCTAGATGGGTAAGTGAAGGAAAAAGTGTTGATTGCTCTACTCCATTTTATTTTATTTTATTTTTAGTGTTCATGTTGTGTTTGGAGCTGTTGTGTCAGGATTTCAGTTTGTGACTCAAATTGAGAATCAGAAAGTTGACACAAAGAATCATCCTTATGCCGATATCAGGATCAGTAACTCTGGGGAACTAGTACTTAGAAGTAAGAGAAATTATACAAATCAACTATAATTGGCGAATGTTAAAGTCGCTCAAAATTTTGCCAAAAATGAAAAGGAGAGAATTCTTCATTTTTATTACATTTCCTGATACATATACATGTTCTTATGTTGTGTTTCAAGTTTGAGCTGATTCCAATCTCACTTGGATTTTATATGAATTTGTAAAGTTTGCTGTACTCTAAAGTCTTCATTAATTGTTTCTTATATTTATACGGAAGTAGTAAAAATACAAAGAAGAGGGCAGTTAGCAGCAGCTCCTCTTCTGTTGAATCTGATG